ATATGCCCTGGGTTTAATGAGAATGCTTCTAGTCTCTCACCATTAGATTGATTTGAGCTCAACTTTTTAAACGATGCTAAGAAAATGTCAGTCTGAATCAGAATGCTTTTGGCTGCAGGTCATAGAAAACTCACTCAAGCTAAAACAATAAAGAGAATTTATCAGCTTGGGTAAAAAATAGCCCAGTGGTAAAGTATGCTTCAGGTGCAGTTTGATCCGGGCTCCAGTTTCACTGTGACTCTCTGAGCTCTACCCTCCTCTACACTCTGGCTTTGTTGTCTGGTTGCCTTTCCTCTTGGGGAAAAAAAAAAAGACTGCCCAGTTTAAGATCTGACATTTGCACACCACAAAGCCCAGAAGGAGAGAGAGCTTCTGTTCCTTCAACTTTTAAAGAAATAAGAAGTCCCGAGGTTTACCCTGCACCATCCAGGACTCTTTTTTCATATTTGGAATAATCATTGTGGTCAAGAAATGACTTGTCCATCCTTAACTATTCCTTGTGATGGTGAAATTATTCTCACCAACTTGGGGTTAAGGAGCCTCCCTTAGCACAGGGTGGAGGTCAGTACAACTCAAACCCTTGGCTGCCCCAATGGGGGAAGGGTGGATGGACACTGGGGAAGTGTACCATCTACTCCCATATGTGAAGTTAGTTAGTTTGTTGTTTGTTTTAAATCAGGAGTGAATATTGAATTCAGTTAAAATTCCTTTTTGGTATCTAATTGAGTTCATCCTCTGGTGTTTTTCCCTTTGATACATAATATATCATATTAATAGATTTCATAATTTTGAAAGGCCTTTGAATTGTAGGAAGAATCCCACTTGAAGGCGGTATTTTATTCTTTTAATAGGCTGTAGAAATTTCTGTCATTATTTTATTTTTTTCATGGTTGTGCTGAGTGAGATTGGTCTAAAGTTCTCTATTTCTGTGCTAACTTTGTCAGATTTTGGAATCCATGTTATGATAGTTTTATAAAAAGAATTTGGGAGCTGTCCTTATTTCTCTAGGTTCTGGAAGAGTTTAAATAGTATCAGATTCATCTGTTACTTGAATATTTGAAAGAACTTACCTTTGAAACCATCTGGATCTGGGGCTTTTGTGGAGAGGTTGCTTTTTAATAATGTTCTCAATTTCTTCCATTGTTTTTTGTCTGTTTAGGTTTCCCTCTCTCATGAAGTCAATCTTGATAATTTATAGTTCCTGGAAAATATCTTATTTCACTCATCTTTTCAAATTTAGTTCCACTGAATTTTTTGCAAAAACTGTTGTTTTCCAATTTCTTTTAGATCAGTGGTATTTTCTCTTGTTTGTTTCTAATGTAGTGGTTTTGAGCTAGCTCCCAAGGATTTATCAGTTTTATTGTGTGTTCCCCCATACATACTACTTCTTTTTTTTCTTAATTTTTTTTTTAATTTAAAATTTTATTTATTTTGGCCGCATTGGGTCTTCGTTGCTGCGCACGGGCTTTCTCTAGTTGCGGCGAGCGGGGGCTACTCTCTTCATTGCAGTGCGTGGGCTTCTCATTGCGGTGGCTTCTCTTGTTGCAGAGCACGGGCTCTAGGCATGCGGGCTTCAGTAGTTATGGCACTCGGGCTCAGTAGTTGTGGCTCGCGGGCTCTAGAGCTCAGGCTCAGTAGTTGTGGCACATGGGCTTAGTTGCTCCAGGGCACGTGGGATCTTCCCAGACCAGGGCTCGAACCTGTGTCCCCTGCATTGGCAGGCGGATCCTTAACCACTGCACCACCAGGGAAGCCCTACATACTATTTCTTAAATTTATTTATCAGCCTCTGTCATTTTTGTTTTCTAATTCATTAATACTTTTTTCCCCTAACCTTGGATTAACTTAGTTGATCTTTCCTAACTTTTTGAATTGCATACTTAATCTGTTTGTTTTAATTCTTTAATTCATTAATACTTCCTTGTGTAACATGTTCCTAAATTGCAGGGTTTGGCTGAGTAAACAAGATATTCCACCAAAATATACCAAAAATGAGATAAGAGATGCAGCGTGATGCAGAACATTTGAACACAATTGTCAAGAACCAGTTACATGAGGGACCACCACAAGGGTGCAATAGGATTGAGTGACAAGTTTTGGAGCCCATTTTGGGAGAGCATTTATTTGGAGAGAGCTATACTTTAAGTCAGACCCCATTCCAAGGGGTGGCATGGACAATGCAATCTCCTGAGCCTGAGCTGGTGGATGGGTTAGGGAGGAGTTTGTGGGTTCTCTGCAGTTGGGGACACAGAGAACTGATGTCTGATCCACCCCTGAGAAGCATAGATGGCTGCACCTGGAAAGTCACAGCATTGCCATCAGATGAGGCTGAGGGAGGCCAGCAGGACTGGACAAAGAGACCTTGCCCAAGAAACTAGAGTTGTAGCCAAAGGATGCACAGAGGAACCTCTTAAGAAATGAGGAAAGTGCTCATAAGGCAAAGAATTCACTTTAACCACATTCCAGGTACAAAGCATGTGAACCCATCTTAGGACAGTACTGACCAAGTAAGGGTTTTCTGTACCCCATCTCTCCTCCTCCTCTCCCTGAGCTTCACAGCAAAATGGGCTGGGGGTTGGGGTGGGAAGGGAGGTGTCAGAAACACTTTGAATTACTTAAGACTATAGTTGTGCTCTCAAGTGATTATACACAATTTTAACTACCTGAGAGTTATCAGAAAAGTATTGGGTATGCTCAAGTATCCATTAGGTGTTAGGGAAAGAACAACCCAACCAAACAGATTAAAGGGATGCTCAGAAATAAAGATGTTTTTCTGATTAAATTAGAATTAAATGAGTTCTGCTTGTTCAACATACTGGTTACACTTGTTTGGTTGTGTAAGTGTTTTAAGAGTAAAATTTTCCTCCCAGCCGTATTTCTAAGCATCGTTACTTAGTGTTTTCATTCTCATATATTCTTATTTTCTAGATATTCTTCAATGTCAGTTTTAATTTAGTCTTTGACCAGGAGTTATTTTTCAGAGAGCTTTTTTTTTTCTTTTTTTAATTTCCAGGTAGTTGATTAGCTGGACTTTGTTTTTCCCCCATCCTCTGGATACCTTTAATATCTTCTCTCTATCCCCCGTGGTTTGAAATGTCACAATAGTTTGTGTTAATGTGGGTCTGTTGTTATGTATTATGCTGGTCCTTTAGACTTATTTCTGGGGAATTTTCTTATATTATTTCTTTCATAAGCTTCTCCCCTCCCTTTTCTCTGTTCATTCTGGAACGTATATTAGATCCCAGACCAAGTGGATTGATCTCCTAATCCTGCTATTCACTTGTATTTCCCTCATTTTTCCTTTATGTTCTCCTTTCTTAGACATTTCTTCTAATTTAGCGTACAGCCCTTCTACTAATTTGAAATAAAAAAGAAGTCAGCAATTGGAAACATTACGCTAAGTGAAAGAAGCCAGACAAAAAAAGGCCACATATTGTGTGATTCCATTTATATGAACTGTCTAAAACAGGCAAATCCGTAGAGACAGAAAGCAGACTGGTGATTGCCTGGGGCTGGGGAGGGGCTGGGGAACACCTGCTTCACGGGTACAGGGTCTACTTTTGGGATGAGGACAATGTTTGGAGCTAGACAGAGGGAATAGTTGCACAACACTGTGAATGTTCTAAATGCCACTGGTATATTTTAAATCGTTTGTTTCATATTATGTAAATGTCACCTCAGTTAAAAAAAAAATAAAGCAAATTTTTCAAAAAAGCAAGTGAAGAAAAAAAGAAAGCAGCAACTTTTAATTCCCAGGATCTCTATCTGGTTCTTCTCGTTTTGTTTTCCATAACATCCACTTTGTCATTTATTTAATGAATGTAAGTCTCTCAGATACCTCTGAGGATACTCATTAAATTCTTTTATTCTCTTTTGTAATATCTCAGTTTTCTCTAAAATTATTTTTAGATATTTATTTATTTTTATCTCTTCTTTGTGTTAGAGTCTGTGGTTGTTTTTCTTTTTTTTCTTTTTTTCTTTTTTCTTTTTTTTTTTTTTTTTTGTGGTACGCGGGCCTCTCACTGTTGCGGCCTCTCCCATTACGGAACACAGGCTCCGGACGCGCAAGCTCAGCGGCCATGGCTCACGGGCCCAGCCGCTGCGCGGCATGTGGGATCTTCCCGGACCGGGGAACGAACCTGCGTCCCCTGCATCGGCAGGCGGACTCTCAACCACTGCGCCACCAGGGAAGCCCTGCGGTTGTTCACAAATACTTTGGTACTCCTTCCTTCAAAAGGTGAAGCCTAATTCCCCTCCGCATGAATGTGGATTCAGTGACTTGTTTCTAATAATAGAAGAAAATGGAACCGATGGTGTACAATCTAAGATTAGGTTGTGAAAGCCTTCCTCCCAGTGCTTGCTCTCTCTCTCTTTGATCCATCAATCTGGAAGAAGCCAGCTGCTATGTCATGAGGACACTCAAGCAGCCCTTGAGTAGAGAGGTCCACGTGGTGAGGAACTAAAGCCTCCTGCCATCAGCCAGCAATGAACGGAGACCTCCTGCCCACATACTCAGTTTCTCAACTTACAGGTGCTGCTTTCGTATACTCAGGTAAGGAGGTGGCCAAAACAACGGCAAGTCCCTAAGTGATAGAAAGAGCAGGTGGCCTTTTCTCTGGGATCTTTCATTGTATTTAAAAGAAGACACTGATTTGTTTCCCAGGGAAGGAGGTGGATGCCTGACCGCTGGGGTTTCTGTGGAGGGAAAAGGAGCAGGGGGTGTGACACTGTGTAGGTGTTCAGTTAGTCCCTACTTTCAGCCTGTTCTCTCACTCAGTTTACTAGGGTTTCAGGATCCCAAGTCTCTCTGGGTTCTAGAGGGCGAAGGAGAGTCTTCTTAACCTCTATCCTTGTCTACTTTAACTCTCCCCTGCACTTTCTCCACCCTGCATTGCCAGTTACCTCTCTTCTGTCTCAAAGAAATTTTTTGAAGTCATCTATCCATGGCCGAGCTTTCACTCGCTCTCTTTGACATGGTTAATTATACTTTGTTTTCCCTCTTGCTATCATTTTAGTAGGTCTCTGGGGGAAGATAGTATCTAGTCATTTTAACCACAAGTCACTCTTGATTTTTGCATCATTTTATTTTTAATCCATCTCTTAAATACAACTTAACGTTCAACTTGTTAATTTAATTAGTAAGCTTGTCTCCTTTATTTTATTTAAATAATAGATATTTCTGGGTCTCATTTTATCCTCATTTTTGTTGCTTTAAATGCTTTCTCTATACTCATTATTTCCCACACGAATTGTCTTACGTGTCTTGAGTATACGTTTTCTTTCTTGTGAGTTGCAAAGTACACAAAATACGTTCTAACCCTCTAGTAGTTGTCTTCATAATTTTTTGAATGACATGTAATCCCTGCTTCTTGGATGTCTTGAGGTCTTGCTCTAAAACGTTGGTCACCAAATTTTTTTATATAAAGGGTAAAGAGTAAATATTTTAGGCCTTGCAGGCCATATGGTCTCTGTCACAGTTATTCACTTCTGTGGTAGCATGAAAGCAACCATAGACAATAAGTAATTGAATGAGCATGTCTGTGCTCTAACAGAACTTTATTTACAAAACCAGGTGACAAGTAGAATCTGGCCCATGGGCCTTCATGTGCCTACTTCTGCTCTAAAAGATGAGAAAATTATCACACACTTCGTCTTTCCCTTTATCTTTCAGTAGTCGAGACTATAGCCTTATTTTCAGTTATTTTGATGGTTCACTTCATAACATCAAAAAATAGAATGAACTGTGAAAGACAATGTCAAGAGAATGAGAAGACAAGCCACAGACTGGGAGAAAATATTTGCAAAAGACACATCTGATAAAAGACTGCTATCCAAAATATATAAAGAACTCTTAAAATTCAACAAGATAACAAGCAGCCCAATTAACATATGGGCCAAAGACCTTAGTACACATCTCCCCAGAGATGATACACAGGTGGCAAATAAACATATAAAAAGATGCTCCACAGACTATGTCATCAGGAAAGTGTAAATTAAACAATGAGATATCACTACCCATCTTTTCGAATGGCCAAAATCTGGAACGCTAACACCACCAAATTCTGGCCTCCAGAATTGTGAGAGAATACATTTCTGTTGCTTAAAGCCATCAAGTTTGTGGATATTTGTTAGAGCAGAATCTAGTACATAGGCCACTGGCGATCGTGCTAAGTGAAGGTATTAAGGTAAGTATTGTTCCCATTTTACAGATGAGAAAATCAAGTCTCTGTAAATCCCCCAGGATCACACAGCAGGCCAATGACAGGGCCAGGGCTCAACCCAGTCTTGCCAGGTTCTGAAGCCCAAACTCTTACCCATTATCTGACACCGTCTCCATCAGTAGACACCCAGGGTTCCGCCTCAGGGAGCTGGTCATCCTCCACTGCCCAGCACTGTCCAGCCAACTCAGAACATTCTCTCCAGAGCTCAGTCCAGATGCTGGATCTCCTGCAGTGGGCACCTGATAACCCTCCTGCAAAGCACTGAGGCCATCCCTCGGAAACCATAAATATTCAAACCTTCAGACCCAATGATGCATCTCATTGACATTGTTCTCGAAGAAGCCACACCTGAAAATGTCCATCACAGCATTCATTATAATTGCATAAAAATAAGCTAAATGTCTGACAGTATGAGTTTGGTTAAATAAATTATAACACATCAATAGATGGAAGAATCCACATCCTTTCAAAATGATGCTTATACAGACTAGGAGGAAATATGAAAAACAATTCTGCTGTGATATGAAGTGGAGAAAGGGATGAAACGCGTTCAAATTTAGAAATTTGACGGAGAAAAAGACAGAAAGGAATATACCAAGATATGAATAATAATTAGGTTAAAAATGAGAACTTTGGTGACTTTTTTCTTATCCCCTAGTAAACAAATTTTCTATAGTGATATTAAATTCCTGCTATGATCAATGTTTATATACATAAGAAGGGACATTTTCAGCTGTATAATATATTTATAAGAACCAAACCAGCATGATAAAGACGCTCATGACTACAGTCCATAAATGACTCGGGATCTGGGAGTCCTTAGTCTGGAGACGGACAGACAAAGGGGGTCTCGATCACCATCCTTCAGCACAGGAGAGCTGTCTTTTGTGAGAAAAACGAGCCTTGCTCCGTGTGAAGACAGAGAGCTGGATGAAGAGTACTGGGAAACCACCTCTTTATTGTGCACAAGACTCTGCAAGAGTGAAATTTCCCAACAATACACAAGGCTGCCTGTAATGTGGGAAGTGCCCCGTCACTGCAGATACTCAAGCCTAAGTCGGAGCTGTGGTTGTCTGATATGAAGAAGGAGGTTGGAAGAAGGTGGGGAAAAAAAAATCAGGATGTGGCAGAAATACAATAAGCAGGTGACTGATGGGGGTCAGAAACTTCAGTGGCCCCAGAGGCCTTTCCTGGAGTTCCTACAGCCTGGGCCAGCCCTCACCCCTAGTGGGTTTCACCAAAGGAAAGTGCAGATGGGAAAAATCCCACAAGCTGTTGTAAACGCCTTAGAACACAAGAGCCAGGGGACCCTTGAGGCCACTTAGGCTCCTATCCTCTTGTTACTGAAGAGGAAATGGAGATTCAGAGAGGGCAGGTGTGTGCTGGGGACACACAGCAGGTCTGTTTAGAGCTGTTTAGATCCCAGGCACTGGGCAGCACCATCCTAGGCCATCCCACCCACCACCACACCACCTCCCGGACCCCACTCCTACCCCGCACCCCCTGCATTTCTGTTTCCCTCCAGACAGGTGGACAAACCCAGCAAGGGCTGTGACCCCACCTGGAGAGACAAAAACAGAAACATCAGAGTGAGTCAGAATGAAAAGGTGACAGCTCTTCTGGTCTAACTCTCTCCCCTTGCTCTTTGAATCACACACACACACACACACACACACACACACACACACACACACACACGGCTGCTTTTCTGTGAAGAAATTAACGACTCCTAGGCTGCTCACCGTTTTTTTCCTTTGGTACCAAAAAGCACTCCTGATCAGTCTGGTTTCATATAAAACCAATACTTGATGGAAAGCGATATGTGTCTGGAAGTAATGAAATGTCTATCGGAGCCTGGGCACCATACCGGCCTGAGGTGAGAGTGGAATGCACCCCACTTCATATTTCATTCCAAGGAAATGCCCTCCTGTAATGAAAATAGTCGTGTCCGTGCCACCGGGCCTGAGACGAGGGAGCCAGAGCATTTCCCGAAGAAACCCAGGGAAGAGCCGATCAATAAAATCCATCAGACTCACTGCATCCTTGAAGCACGTTCTGTGTTCATTTATCCTGGACCTGGGAGTGATTATGTCAGGGTGTTTTTCCCAAAGATTCTGGCAAAATAAAACAACGCTCCATCCCAAGTCTCTTTCGTGAAAGGCTTTGGTTTCCTCCAACCTGTGCTTGCTGTTTATTTCAGCCTCCTGGGCAGTGCAGGGGCCTTTCAGGATGAGTTTATCATTGGCAACAGGTGTCCTAATGGTGCAGAGACCCATCATTAGTGAAGCCCCCATACCCCACTTCTGGCCATGGGGAGCATGGGGATCCCGGACCAACAGCTGATTTCCTGTCTCAAAGTCCCTAAAGCAAATACATTAGCAGCTTCGGGGATGATGGGACATTCCTAGCAAACGAAAAGGTGAAAACGTCTGCTGCAAAGTCCTCTCTGCTCTTTAGAAAAATCTTCTAAGATAATTGTAGATTCACATGCTGCTGTAAGAAAGAACACAGAGAGAGCCCAGTCCGCTTTGCTCAGTCTGCAAAACAGTACTGTACCATCACCACCCGGACGCAGACGCCGATACCATCCACTGATCTAGTTCAGTTTCCCCCAGTTTCCCTTGTACTCAATTTGTGTGTACGTATTAGGTTCTGTACAGTCTCATCTCCTGCTAGTGATAATTTTAGTAGTGGTTGCTGTATCACCTTGTATGCAACTCCACACTCCAGATACTGACCCTTCTCTCGCCTTTTTAAAACCAGACTCACCACATTCCACTCACCACCGCCCCTAATCCCCGGCAACCACTAATTTGTTCTCCATTTCTATAGCTTTGCTGTCTCGAAAATGTTATGTAAATGAAATCGTACAGTATGGAACCTCTGGGGATTGACTTGTTTCATTCAGCACAGTTCTCTGAATATTCAGCCAGGTTGAATCAATAGTATATTCCTTTTCATGCCTGAGTAGCAATTAGTCCACGGTATGGAGGCACCTGTTGGTTTAACCATTTACCCGTCAAAGGACATCTGGGATGATTTCCAGTTTTCAACTCTTGCAAATAAAAGAGCCATGAACTTTTGTGTACACGTTTTTGTGTGAACATCCATTTTCGTTTCTCTGGGCTAAACACCTAGGAGTGCAATTTGCTGGGTTGTACGGTAGCTCCGAGTTTAGCTGGTCAGGAAACTGCTGAAATGTTTCCGTAGTGGCTGGACCATTTCACGTTCCCACCGGCAATGCCTGAATGATCCAGTTTCTCAGCACCCTCACCGGGGTGTTGCCACTATTTTTTTATTTTAGCTATTCCGATAGGAGCGTAGTGATATCTGTGTGGTTTTAACTGGCATTTCCCTAACAGTTACTGGTGTTGAATGTCTTAGGTTTATTTGCCATCTGTGTATCTCCTTCAGTGAAATGTCTATTCATGTGTTTAGCCTATTTTCTAGTTGGAGTGTTGTTTGGGGGGTGTGTGTGTGTGTGTGTGTGTGTTTTCTGTCATTCTCTGCTCTTTACACTCTTGACTCCACAAGGCAAATCTCACAGCAAGCACAAACCACTGAGCTGGCCTTGCCTCACGGGCAGCTGCGCCGAAGTCTCCTACCCACCAAGGAGGGAAAAGCCACAAATCTGAGCGAGCACCCCCCTACCCCATTCTCCTCCTTCCTTCTCTCTCTCTCGCCTGCGCTTTACCGTGGGGGGAAAATTAGCCTCAGGAGAAGGAACTTTGATCGCAGCTCCGCCATGGCCTGTTGTGCAGTCCAGGGGCCCTTTCATCCCCTCTCTGACCCTTTACTTTCCCATCTGTAAGATCAGAGTGTCGGGCCTGGTGACGCTCTGACTTCCTGGTCTGCCTCCTTTCTCATCTCTGTCTCTGGGTTTGGTCCACCACTGACAATTCTGCAAAGAGGGGCGTCTCTGTTCTGAGCATGTGCTGTTTGGAGCTTCCCAGCACGATCCTCCCGTCTCTCGGTTGACAGCCCCGGGGTTTTCAGGCAGGCGTCTACTCTCCCTCACACATCCTGGGTGCTTCCGAGGAAGCTGCTTCCATCCGCCAGCTCTCATTCCCTCCCCGCACTGGGGCCACGTGCCAGCCCTAAACTAATCTGTGTGCTCCATCCCCTTGCAGATTTTTCACCTAAGTGGATCCAACAGCTGAAGCCTGAGGATTTTGTTTGCTGGTTGGGGGAAGAAAAGTACCCTCCTCCCCAGGGAATATGAGGCAGGGAGCAAACAGTCTTCCAAACTGGCAGGCATCTTGGAGTCCCGAGAGGAGACGCCTATGAAAAAGGAACCGTCACGGAGGAGGAGGGGACAGGAAAGAGAACCTGGGTCTTGGTCATATTATCGTCAAGACCCCCCTGAAGACACACCCTATCATGAACCAAGGCATTATCTTTAACCAGCTGGATTTTCTGTTACTTGCATTCAAAACACCCAAGGGGAGGGCTTCCCTGGTGGCACAGTGGTTGAGAGTCTGCCTGCCGATGCAGGGGACACGGGTTCGTGCCCCGGTCCGGGAAGATCCCACATGCCGCGGAGCGGCTGGGCCTGTGAGCCATGGCCGCTGGGCCTGCGTGTCTGGAGCCTGTGCTCCGCAGTGGGAGAGGCCACAACAGTAAGAGGCCCACGTACCGCAAAAAAAAATCCAGGTGACCACAGATGGCCTCCAGAAACCCCGACAATTTGGAGTAATTCAGGAACAGCTTCCCATTTTCTGGCACAGGGAACCTCCCTTTCAAAGCACTGTTGCGTGCACTCACAAGTGTGGGCTGTCCTTTCTCCCTCGTAGTTTTATTTATTTTTTATGTTTGAAGCTTGACTGAGATATAACTGATTTACCAAAAAATGCACATATTTTATGTATACATTTTGATGAGTTTGGACATATAAATACACCTGTGATACCATCACCATGATCAAGGCATTACACATACCCATCCCCTCCAAAAACGTCCTTGTGTTCTTTGTGTGGTTTTCTGTTGCTGTTTTCTTTTTGTGTTTTGGTTTTGGTTTGGGGATTTGGGGGGGGGTTGGTTGTAAGAACACTTCACGTGAAATCTATATTCTTAACATACTTTAATGTGCACAATACCGTATTGTTACCTTGCTGATGCAGAACCAACAACCTCAATACCCTGCCTGCCCCTCTGAGGACCATCTGCCCCGACGGGCAGACAAGGGAGACAGGGTCTCTGTTCTCCACCAGCAAGCTGCCGTGCTGGAGAGGATCTCAGAAGGGTGAAGCAGACCAGGGTCTTATGTAGTCAGA